TGAGATGGCAGGTTACACACCAATAGTGTGGTCAGGGCATAGCTATACAGTCCTATCCATCAAGGTAAAAAACAGCTTTCTGTTTATATCTACCACATAAAGAGACATCATGTTATAAAGGGAGTGATTGAATCACCAGAGAAAATAGACAATTCTACATGTAGGATGACAGATTTTAACACACATCTCTCATGCATTGCTAGAACAGACAGATGAAAATTGAAAAAGTACACAGAAAATTTGAGCAACATGATTAATAAGCTTGATCTGATGAGCTATACAGACTATTTCATAAAATTTCAGAGTCAACTGTCTTCAGTATGCAGGGAACATTTATTACTACTGGTCTTATGTTTGTCCATAAAGGAATGCTCTAAAAATTTCGTAGGATTAAAATAGACCATATTTCCTAACCACAATGTAATTAAAAGATAAATAAATAAAATGCCATTGTTTGGCAATTTGAGGACATAGTTTTAAATAACTCATGGATTAAATAAGATATCATAGAAATTGATAAATATCTAGAACTAAAGCATAATTAGAATACTGCATTTCAAAGCTTATGAGATGCAGCTAAAGCAGCATTTACAGATTAAATTTTAGCTTTAAGTGTACATATTAGAAATGAGGAAAGGAATGACAATCAGCAAAATATATATCTTAAGCAATAAGAAAATAATAAAAATAAGAGCAAACTAGAAACCGGGAGAGAATGTCTGTAAATCACATATCTGATAAAGAACTTGTATACATACTTGATAAAGAGCTGACAAAGAACAGAATATATAAAGAACACTTGCAATTCATTAATAAAAAGAACCCAATTTAAAATAGACAAAAGATATGAATAAGCATTATTGACATATGATAAACTGCATATAATTAGAGTGTATATTTGAATAAATTGTTACATATGTATACACCAGTGAAACGATTACCACAACCAAGATAAAGAATATATCCATCAGCCACAAAAGTTTCCTCATGCCCCTTCGTAATCCCTCCCCAGCCCACCTACGCTCATCCCCAGGCAACCACTCATGTCCTGTGCACAGATATGCGTAGCGATTGTCCCTTGATGTGAACGTTTGAGACATTGCCTGAGACCCAGATTCAGAGCTGAGACGGCAGTTCTGTGTGGAGGAGGAGATGATGAAGATGATGAGGGTTTTCATTACCGTCATCACCACCTTCTGCAACATGCAATTTGTTGATTCCAAATCCCAGAGAATGCAGTCCAATCTGGAAAGTATTTTAGATCATCAAGATGCTTTTTAACAAGAAGAAAGAACTTGAGAGCCATTGCCTTAGATATGCCATTTTTTATATTTGTTGATAAACATAGATAAGACTGCTGTCTTAAAAGTACATGTTGGTTCACAACCTTCTCAGGAGCTTCCTGGCCCCCATAGGTGGAGGGCAAGGAGGGACCTAAGAAAGAGGCAGACCACTCCAGATGGACAGGTGGCAGGTTTAATAAGCAAAGGAACTTATAAGACTTGTCTTAGGTGGCTGCTAGATGAGTAATTTTCCACACCTGCCCGCCAATCTTAAAAGTTTATATAGAGGCCTTAACTGGGTTCAGTCACGTATACCATCCAAATGGTCTCAACACCACATTTCTGTCTCAAGGCTGGATCCTTGGGGAAGCTTCCAGGAATGGGGAAGGCAAGAAGAATGCACATTCCAAGAATGGGGGGGCACGGAGCCTCCAATTGCCCGGGTCCAGCTCGAGGGTGTCCTCTCCATGACCTCCCCCACCACTCCACCCCTAGTGACCAGCTCTTACAGTCTCACATGTCCCCTCTTCTGGGCCCTCAGCAGTCAGCAAGGGGTTTCCCTAGTGTGGAGGTGACTCATTGGGCAGCCATCTGGCTGCATTGGAGGCAGAGGCCACAGCAACAATACAGGCATGTGCAAGAGAAAACACAGGTTGAGACAATAATGCCCCAAATCACTGACAACTTTTTCCACCTAGAGCCCCACGATCTGAACCATTGATTTACTAAGTCCCCTAGGCTGGGGGTCAGATCAAAGCATGCACTTGTGTCCTCATGTGATTTAATAAAGACGACACATTAGCAGACTCATCAGGTATGAACACACACATTCTGTTTGGATAATGGCGCAGGTGCCTCCTTGCAAGGCACTAGTAATGTTTCAGGCCCTTCTATTCCAGAGGACAGCTTTTCCCATTAGAGATACTTCAGCATTCATAAGGACAGATGTTGTTGGCTACCAGTCAAGGCTTGCTCTACGAATTTAGTAATGGCTCCCATCTGGGCTATTACATCCAGAAATTATGCATTTTTTACATCCATATTCAACAAATGACTATTCAAATGAACTTTGGGTTGTTGCCCATGGACCATGGACACAGCTCTTCGGCAAATGATTGCTGCGTTTCATAGATGCCTCCTTTGACCTCGGGAGCTTGTTATTCACAGTATTTCTGGAACACCTCTGGTAGCATCGTCTTCAGAGTTAAAAGCCACAATGGAAGACAAGTCTCTAGTTTATAGCTTCTTTTTGTTTTCAACCATAAGCACACTTTCAAGTTTGGTCATTCACCCTGTTCACCAGATTGAGATTCTGTCAAAAATGAAATCCATTCTCAAAAAGCTGAGCTGTGATCTCTAAGAATGGTCAGAAGTTTTGCCACAGATAAACCGTAAGCTTGCCGTGAAAGTCTCCCACGCAGACGTAAAGATCCTGCCCATGCACCACAGTGCTTTTCACTCCCGGTCCTCTCCTCGGCACAAGGACGTGGAGACTCCTCAGCACAGATTTTTGGCTGGTCGAGGCTGGGCTCTGACTGACTTTGAGTAAACAAGGCCCAGGGCTCATAGGGACACTTCTCCCACTTCAGATAGTACAGACCCGACTCCACCTCTTTGAACCTCTGGACTCTGGGATTTATACACAAACACCCCTCCCCAGTAGGAATGTGATAACTTCAAAATTCTCTCAGTAACCCCCGTGAGCAAAGTGCCTTGCCCTGGACTCCTGCTCCTGCCACTCACTGAAACACACAAGACTTCAGTTACAGGAATCAGGATTGGCAAGATCCTGGGGTTCTTCTCTAGAGTCATCTCCTCCACAGCAAAGAAGGTAGTCTGTACATATCTATGTGATTAAACAAGAGGGACTCCACAGGGGCGTGGAAAGAAGACATTTATTCTTTTCTCATACTAGCTCTTCAAACTGCTCCATCAGTGCCTCATGAGGAAAATCTTGGATGGGTTCTACCCTAAGCAAAAAACCTCTCCAATCACTGTTAGTCACATTTGTGTAATTAGAACATCCAACCTAATAATCAAACTCTGAAATTCATTGACTGATAAGGCTTCTCCTTCCCCTGGCTTGTGCCTGCTTCAGCAGAAGGACCTGCAGTGTGGACAGGACTTCCCCACCTTGCCCTTCTCCTCTTCCTTCTCCAGTCACTTGCCTTGGTTCTGACCCCTGGTGGGTTGGAGGAGAAGAGGAAGAAACATTGAAGACAAGTCAAGTGTAATCTGGCCTTCGGGGGGTTGGAGGCACACCTAGTGGCTCTTCTTTTCCTAGGGCATCGTTGACGACTCTTCAGAGTGTCCCCTGGAAATCTGCAATTACAAGTCCAACCAATGGCCACTATCTCCCCTCCAGCTGGCTACTTCAAGTTCAGTTGCTGGCACCTGGACTTCCAGAGGTCTGGTCCATACACCACTGATGGGATGCCTGGTGGACTCCTGGGCAAGTTCCCTTCAAGCTGGCTCTATCTGGCTCCCCTCTGTGTGGCCCACGTTTGATTTATGGGAAACACACACTTTTTCCCCTCCATCAGTGAAAGTTATGGTTGCTTCCAAAACAGCCTCCTCATCTTTACCCTGCTCCCTCCAGCACATAGCAACATCCTTTCATATTATGATTCCCATGGGAGCACTAGGCTGTAAAGCCAAACCCCAGAGGACAAAGGTCACTTCCTCCCAGGAATATCTTACCATACACCACCCATGTCTTCTGGCAGCTTCAAAGTCCAAGAGGACTCCTTACTTGGTTTGAGGTGAGAGGGAACCATCATCCCGTTGGCTGGGAGACACTGTGGAGTGGAGTCACTGTGGAGCCTCCCTTATGTAAACACATTGTTACATAAAGATCGCCTTCTTACTGGGAAGATGGTTAGTCTACAGATGAGCCCCAAGAATTTGCCCATCCTAAGAGTCATTGTCCCTATACTCTAAACGTCCTCCCTCACAAAGTCCTTTCCTCTTGATCTCCTCAATACCTATCGAATTAGTTCAAGAACTAAACCTCATATAATTGGTTTCTAGCTGCTTCCTTTGCCAAGTACTACATAGATCTTGTAGCATACGTCTTTGGAATGTGGAGATATTGGCAATTACTAAGGACTCAGCTGAACTTGAGGGGGATATTTATGTTTATGTCTTGCCATGTTCACCCCAGGCCTTTCACATCACCTTCAGTCCAACACTTCAAGTTAATGCAGGACTCTTACTTTGAACCCTCCCTTGACATCTGATACTCAGCTTGTCACAAACCTCACTGAATGCTGTTGCTCCTGAGTCTATGCTTCCCCTGACTATCTTACCTGCAGCCCCTAACTTTCCCGTTTCTGAAAAGAAGCATGACCATCGTTCAATCACCCACATGGACACATTCTACACATCCTTCACGGTAGACTGCAAGACCTGAGTTCTTCTGCAAGTCTTCTCCTAGAAATCCTAGTTTAATTCCCCATTATGGGTCATGTTGATCACATATTTCAACAACAGGGATAATGCACACACTAAATGAGGGAACTTCCAGAGGCCTCGGAACTCAATTAGAACCACTTTCAGAGAAAACTGGGATATAAAGATTGTTAAGATAATTGAGTGGGAATTATTTCATTTGTCAAGCAAAGAGATAATGTTGACATAATTTATTTGATTTACTCATTTTTCCTCTGGGTATGCCTTACCTTCCAAAGTAAACTATGAGTCAGGAGAAATGAAATCAACTCATTTAAGTTGCATCTTCAACAAGCCCTAATACAGGCCTAGACACGCACAAGTTAGTTGAATTAATAATGCTTTTGTGAGTCTCTGAGGGAAAATGTCTTTTAAACGGTTCTTAAATGAAAGAAGTCGGGACAGTCATGCATATTTTGCTCTCTGGAGATAATACGGCACTGATGAGTCACTCACCAGGAACTACCTTTAAACAGAAGAACTGCATTATGGCAAACAGCAGTTTGGTGAGCCTTGTTATTTCGTGTATCTTATGAACGTGTTATCTCACAGCAGTTATTTCCTTCCCTGTTGTCTTTACTCCATTCATAACTTTTGTAGTGAACCTTAGAATGAGCAGGTATTTGGGATCTACTTTCTCCAGACTTAATCTCTATTCCCTGTCTCCCTAAAATCCGCTGATGCAGTCAACACTCTCAGTCATTTTCACAGACCAAATAAAGGACGGCTGTAAAAATTCCAACAATTTGAGTTTGGGTTATCTGCAATCATTAGAAATGACATAGAGTCATCCCTCTAACTTTGAAGTTTCTCAATTATTTTAGCAAGACAGAACCTTTCATCTGTTCACTGCCAGTGTCACAGTTTGTGAGAGTAAACTTGTCCCAGAGATTTCAGCTGTCAGGAGAGATTTTTCTGGTGGCAGAAAACACTAGAGGGAATTAAAAAATAATAAAGATCAGGGAATGCTCTGAAAGAGGAAAGGAAGTGGGTATCATAACATCAATCAATCTGGATTCTAGCAGGAGAGATGGCCCTCTCTGATTCAGGACTTGGAGGGAAGTCTAGTGAATGGGCTTCCTACAAGCTGTGGACATGGGGTTCAGAAACAACAAGGGGGCGTGCTAGTAACAGTGAGGTGATCACATCCTAACTCTAAAGGGGTGATGAAAACTGGAAGGAGAGTGGGGTTGATGTCAAAGAGCAAGGGATCCCACTGATATTGTCCATAGAGATCAGCTTCCTGGGCAAAGAGCCAGGGTGAGCAAGGGTGAAGTGTGGATCTGCCGTGGTAAACAGAAAGTATTTGGCATTTTTAAGTTATAGTCCAGGACATTTTAAGCTAGGATGGTATCTGAAAAAGAAAAGAGAGACAAACAATAAGAGAATTTGTCAACTTTCAGATCACCATGAACCACAAAACAATGTTGCCAGAGAAGCCTGATGCCTCACTAAAAAATTACTCACAGACGTGGACTAAAATAACACACATAACCAGTGGGGCCAACACTTAATGGATACAGGATTTCTTATTTGAATTTCCCTAAAGTGAGTCTTTGAGCTCTACGTGATAATTTATTGCCTGATTATGCCAATGTTATAACTTCTTTAAATTTGTTGTCATTGTGAGGCGGGACAGGTGGGGCCAGGGAGTGGTAGGGAATGAGCTGGGAAGATGTTTCATTCTGATTAGCTACTGCCGCATAACAAACCATCCCACAACTTAGGGGTTTAAAACAACAAAAGTCATTTATTTTTCTCATGAATCTGCAATTTGGGCAGGACTCAGTGGGGATGCTCATCTTTGCTCTTTGCAGCTTCATCAGAGGTGGCTCTGTCAGCAGCTGGAGAATGCACTTCTGTGTTGCCTCACTTGCATGGCTGGCAGATGAAAGACCAGTCAGGGGAGTGGGCCAGTGACTTCAAATTCTCTGCCTGTAGGCCTCTCAACGGGCAACTTGGGCTCCCTCATAACACGGTGGCCAAGTCCCAAGGGCAAGCACCCCAAGAAAGCAAGGATGCAATTTTCCTATCGAACTTTAGAAGTCACATGGTGTTGCTTCACGTATCCACTATTTATCAAAGCAGTCACAAAGTCCATCCAATTTCAGGATAGAAGACACAGATTCCATAACTCAATGGAAGAAGTAACAAGGTCAGATTGTAAAAAGAATAAGTAGGATAGAAGATACAATTGTAGCCATCCTTGGAAATTATAATCCTCTACATTAACAATCATAGTAAATTAAGAAAGAAAAATGAAATTTACATTACTGCCACAACATATGCCATATTGTTGAAAGCGTCATGATAATCCGATTAAAAACATTTTGGTATACACTATTCTCAGATTCTTGCCTTATATTTTTTATTTGTTCATCATATTTCATCTTTAGTAATTTATTTTTTTCCTCTTTTTCTTGCTGTGCATATTTTATTTTATCAGCATATTCCTGTTCTACTAGTTTAATTTCCTTTTCCAATTGATCAGTGTAGATTTTCTTCAAGCCCTCTGCCTGTCGTTTCAGCCTTTCCTCTGCGTCCTTGTATATGTCATCCAAAAAGTAAGCCCCTCCGTTGTTCTGCACCATTTTCTCCACCAGCTCCACCAGCTCCTGCACTTGAGCTTCCTTCTCAGCTTCCTCTGCTCTGTTGTTGAAGGCGCAGTAGCGGTTCCCACACTCCTGGATGACGTTTCTTAGCTTCACATCCGCCGCTGCTATAAAGTCACTTAGGCTCTGATCCTCCAATTCATCTTTGTGAGTGAACAAGATGATCATGTGCTTCATGGCTGCCTTCCCAAAGAGATTTTTGATCAATGCAACGGTTTTCTGCTCTTCCTCTGTGTAGCGGCCCAGCTGCAGAACCATGATGATGGCGTGAGGCCCGGGGCAGGAGTAGAGGACACACTTGCTGATTTCCTCACAGGTGGTCTCCAGGCTCTTCCCAGTGTCAAAGAGCCCTGGGGTGTCAACAACAAGAAGGTCCCTGCCCTTCCATTCTCGAGATTCCTTTTGACAGGTCGGGATAACAGCATGGGCAGAAATTTTAGAAGCAAATACTTTTTTTCCGAGGATGGTGTTTGCTGTTGCACTTTTCCCACTTCCAGTTTTCCCTACCAGAACAATCCTCAGAGCATTGTCCTGAGAGTCAGCCATGTTCATATCAAGAGGCTCTGGGGCTTAGGTACTCACAAGACCTTAAGGTTGGGAAGGCTGAGAAGAAGAGAAAAAAGGGTCAATTTGGGTGCATGGGAACCATTCCCAACTCTCTTTTCTTTCTTTTCCTCCCTGAAAAATTAGTAAGAATCTATTATCAATATTGATCCCAGTAGAGACAGAAAGATGAAACAGTTCAATCACTATGGAAGAAATAATAGAGAAAGTAGTTAAAGAGTTTCCCCACAAAAGAGTACCAGGTCCAGATGGTTTCACAGGGGAACTCAAAGCTTTAAAGATCTGATAATCTTAATGCTACATAAACTATTCCTGATCATATAAAAAAGAAGGAAAATTTTCAATTCTTTTTCAGAAGCAAGTATAATATTGATCCCAAAGGAAAACAAAGATTTCACCAATAAATAAAGCTACTGACATGTTTCATTTGTGAATATTGATGCAAAAATTCTAAATATATTATTAGACACTAAAAAATAATACATCATGATTAAGTGGATTTATTTCAGAAATAGTAGGGTGGTTCAATATAGGAAAATTGATTGTTACAACACACCCCATTAATAGATTAAGAAGAAAATTTCCTAGATGCAGAAAAGACATTTGACCAAATTCAACACTAATTCATGTTTAAAGAATTTCATAAAATTGGAATTAATAGATATTTCTTTAATATGATTTTATACAAATATAAATTTTTAAAATTTTGTCATCACCTTTTTTTTTTACCTGTAGCTAAAAAGTTGATTATAAAGTTCATTTGGAAGAAGATAAAAGAACATCAGCTTGGACAATCAAGAAAAAGAAAAACAATGAAGGAAGACTAGCTCTACCAGAGAGTGAAACATTACAGTTTCTATAATTAAAGCAGTAGGATGTTGGTGCATGAAAAGAGAGACAGAACAGGGAAACAAAAGCAGAAAATTCAGAAATAGACCAAATAGATCATACTACATTCATTTGTATTCAATTCAATTATATTACATTACATTTATATTCAATAAGGCAACATCTCACATCAATGGAGAAAAAGACAGACTAATAAGCAAGATTGGGATAACTATATAACCATACAGAAAAGATAAAACTGCATCCATTGCCTCATGCCATTCAAATTCCATATAGATTAGAAATTTAAATGTAAAAAATTAATCCCTATAAATAATAGAAGAAACACGGATAAATTCTTTGCAACCTGAGGGTAGGGGAAATATTTCTAAGATTTGAAATAGAGTAAGGAAAGAGACTCATAAATTTGATTACATAAAAATCTAAAAGACAGTGTGAGGCAAAATCACCATAGACAAATTAAAACACAAATGTCAAAGTAGGGAATAAAAATCTCCAACTTATATCAAAGAGGGTTAGTTTTCCTATTAGACAAAGAAAATCTAAAAGTAGAGAAACAAAAGACCAACAGCTTGATAGAAAATAGAACAAGAGATATGAATAAACAGGTCAAAGAAAAAAAGAAATGTAAATGTCCCATGAATAGATAAAAAGATATTCTCATTCACTCATATAGAGAAAAATAAATCAAAACATAGAAAAAATAAAATAACTAAATTAACTAAATTAAAATTACACTGAGATACCACTTCTCACCTACAGTTTTGGGAAACCTCCAAAAGTTTGCTGGCCTGATCTGTTGGTAAAGGTAAGGGGGAAGCAGGTCCTTTCCTACAGGGCTAGTGGGAATGGAAAACCAGCCCAAACCTACAGAGGAGAAGTTAGCAATATCTTGTAAAAGTACATGTGCATTTACCCTTTGGTTAGCAATCCCAATTTTAGGATTTATTCCAAAGCTACACTGACAAAAATACAGAAAAAATTAGGCATAAGGCATTACATCACTATTTGTAATAGCAAAAGACCAAAACCCTATCAAATGCCCATTATCAGGGGACTGGTTGAATAAAATAAATTATTCACATAGTTAAGTACTATCCAACTGTAAAGAGGAAGGAGAAATATCTCTATAGACCAGTATGGAGAGATTTCCAGGATATATCATTAAGTGAAAAAAGCAAAGTGAAGAAAATAATGTATAGTTTACTACCATTTCTCTGATAAGGAGGATTATGAACTACATATACAAAATATAATATTTATATATATTTTTTCATATATATGAAAAAGCAGTGGCAGGATAATCTGAAAACTTTGTTGTTAGTCCTGTGGAGTCAATTCTGACTCCTGACGACCCTGGGCACAGCAGACCGGAACCCTGCCCAGTCTTTTTGCACTATCCTCTCACCTTCTGGCACTGTATCAGACAATGCCCCACTGCTATTGATAGGGTTTTCATGGCCAATATTTTCAGGAGTGGCCAGGTCCTTCTTCCTAGTCTGTCTGAGTCTGGATGCTCCGCTGAAACCTGTCCACCAAGGGTGACCATGCTGCTATTTGAAATACCAGTGGCATAGCTTTCAGTCATAGTCACCAACAGACAGTGGTGTGGTTCCCTGACCGGGAAATGAACCTGCCAATTCTTAACCACTAGACCATCAGGCCTGGCTAATCTGAAAACTAAACTCTCAAAAAATTTACTTACGTAGGGATGGGAGGACCAGGGTGAGGAAACAGGGATAGAAGCTGGAAACTAGACTTTTTGGATACACTTAGATTTCATAGATTTGATCTTGAATTCATGTAAATAGTTTACATAATTATACAACAAAAATTACATGAAAAGATACTAGTAAAAATCAAAAGCAATGAAACAAATGAACCTAATTGTATTTGTGTGGTGGATGAACTACAGAAAGTATTGGCCCAAGAGATTTGAAAATGTAGTAATCTCATCGTCCACCCTAATGGGAATTACGTTAAGGCCAAAAAGAAAAAAAAAAGAACCTTAAATTGTTTTTAGGAATCTTATTCTTAGTTATGTGCATGTGCATGTAGTTTTAAGGTCCACTGAAAAGCCATAAAAATAATGATGAGCCCAGGAGCAATAAGTACCCTTAGTGCCCAGATTGTGGTCTTCAAATGCCATTTCCCACCAAAAAAATTAGGGCTCTTAGGGAGATGTACTGATTCCAGATCTGGGCCAGGAAAGGTACGAGTTGACCCTAGACCATCTTGCTATACTAGAAAGCCAGGATGCTATCAAAAATTACTAGGATCTCATCAAAGGGACTCAAGAGTCAACTTGAAGAGGCTCCAAGTGGACAAAGATGGGACAATTTGAGGCTCAATAAGAATAATAATTCCAATGGATTGAAATATATGAGATGTGTTGAAATCCATGAGTTCATAAGAGTACCACCTCCTTAAAAGAAGTCAATTATTCCTTTGGAGTATGCTAGGAAAGTGTCTAATCATTTGGAACCTTGACGAAAAAAGGGAAAGAATCAAGCATTTATCTTGTCTTTTTTATATAACTGTACCTCATAGAAATGAAAGAATTGTTGAGGGGAAGTTTGTTTTCATAGGATTATTCCATCTAATAAATGAAGAAAGAATGATAGAATATCATAATTGGTGACCCTTAATGAAACAAATTTGCTCCAGGCAATCACTGATGTCTGCTGACATCACAGAAAGAGAGACAACCAAAGATCATTCTGATGGAAGTTTCCAACTGCACCTCTGAAGCAGTCCCACCAAAAAAACAGTCAGACCTTAATCTGATTAAGCCTCTCCCTAAATATAAATTCACACAAAACACTAAAACCAGAAGAGCGTGTTAAATGATGTATTGAGGATGTAATCAACAAAATTGACACTGTCCAATTCTGTTGGACAAAAACTACCCCTTTCTTAAGCAAAGATATATTGCAGAAAGAGACAAGGAAGGTGAAAACCTATATATTAAGCTAACCTTAAGAAGTATGGAACAATTGCAAGTTATGGACCTTATTTGGATCTGACTTCAAACAATTTTAAAAATTATGAATACTCAGAGAAGTCTGAATACAATCATTAATATTTTTTAAAATTTTAGTTGCTTTTTGAAGTCTGATTATGGTAATATTTTTGAAATGGTTTATCTATAACACCATTTACTGATCTACTGATAAAGTGACACAATGTCTGACATTTACTTCAAAATAATCTGGGGTGGATAGAGAGTGCTGAGTATATAGATAAAACAAGATGGGCATCAATCGATAATTGGTGAAGTTTTGTATAGGGTCATGAAATTTCCTTATATTATTCTCTTTATCTGTGAATAAGTTAAAAAATTTCCATAATAAAAAATTTAACCGGTATGTAGTATAACCACTACTGAATGTGTACCGTATACCAAGCACTCTGATAAATATGTTTCGTACACTAACTCATTTACTCTCCAAAAGCAGCCTGCAAGGAAGCTAATTTTATTACTCTAATTTTTTAACTGAGGGAACTGATGTGGCGCAAAAATGCTGACAAACTTGCCCAAGGTCACGCAGTTAACAGGCATTGGGCAGAGAGGGATCCAGTTCAAGGTCTGTCTGACTCCACCAGGCTGCCTCTTAACCACTGAACACCACGGCCTCTTCTTGGTTCCTCTCAGGCCCATGGTTCTAAACTTCAGTTTACATCAGGTCAGAGATAGATCAGGGCAGGGCAGGGAAGACAGTCCACACTCCTTCCAGAAACGTGAACTGGCAGCAAGCCTGTAATTATGGAAGGCAATGAGGAGGGTTTCACATATGTTCTTTCTTTAGAATAGCTAATCCTCTCCCCCTCCTCACCTCGTATCTTACACTATTGGGGACACAGCTTCTCTCTGTTAAATGCTGGAAAGGACGCAGCAAACTGAATTCCAGATTTCCTCTGCCATTAGTGACCTGCATAACCCCTGGAGAATCACCACACTCTCTGGGATTCTGATTCTTTTTCAGTAAAAAGAGAGATTTAGACTGGGTGTCTGTCAATTGCCTTCCAGCTCTAAAGACCCGCCTTGGGGACACTAACCTCCTCTTCAGGGAAAAGGATGGGTTATCAGGCAGCACTCAATGTCTATCACAAGAGCAATTGGATGGAAGCAGCACTATTCAGCGAGAGTTTGTCCTGTTCAATAGGAGATGGATGGACGTTGTGCTAACACGTCTCCTTACTCCCCTCCCTGCCCTCCACCCCCACCACTCTGGAAGCATCCTCCTTGCTGTGCTGCTGTCACAGTACCGGATCCCTTCTCAGACCAGAATCCACCCCCATGCAGACTCCCTGTATCCTACTGTCCCTCACAGCTCTGTCGCTCTGGGGCCTCTTCCCAGCCAGGCTCACCTTCTTTTGAAGGAGGTCATGAGTTCTCAAGTTTTCTCCAAAGAAGCTCTTTAAAATGGTGCTTTTGCTTTAACTGTGGGGAAAAAAGTGTTTGCACCCTCTGAAACCTGAGTCAGGAAACTCAGATTGGGTGGAGCCAGTGAAGGAACTGTTTGCCTTTAAAGAGACAGAAATATTGTCTTATAATTTGGTGGGTACTTCAGTGTTGCCAAGTTGAAAGATTTTCTCCATGTGCCTGGTATCACACCAAAATTTCCCAAGCTATATTTTTTGTTTTGGGTTATAAGTGTTTATCTAAGAGGTCCTTTTTAAATGACCAAAATCTTGCCCGGAAAGCCATGCATAATGTCTCATCATCTTCTCGGGGTTGAGTGGGAGACTGGAGGGTGATTTGGGGAAGAAAGAAGTCAGCTATGTGGCTTGGCGTTTACAAGTTCAGAGCCTG